TTCTAAGAATTCCAATTGAGTGTGTTAGTGTGGCCAGCTCAGGGCAATATGATATTATAAACACAGAACACATCAGGTCTCTGCTGTTTATAACTTCATAGGAAAGAAAACACGCCATTCATAACAGATTGAACGACTAAACCTCTCCCAAGAGCAACAGGAACTTTGCTGCAAGACAGGCATATGTAACGATGACTTAGCGCACCTAAACAAATGCCTCATTATATATAGTACTTGTGACAACAGGCCAGCGAAAAATCTAACAATCTACAGCAAAACCATCAATTATTATGGGCGTTATAACATAGGTGTGCAGCTGGACGAAACATAGATGTCGAACCCCCTCAGACGATTTAAATACCTGACGAAACATACACGTCAAACCACGCTGAACGGTTAACTGTCATTTTGATTATGTTCATAAATTTCCAGTCTTGGTTATTTCTATATCTGTTTCCTTACTTCCACTCCATTCTGTACTCTTTCATATTTATGTATCATAATCAGAATTTATTTTGCAAATCTGATATTGAATAATACTGCCATAATTTATCCCCCCCCCCATGAAAACAGGTCACATACAACATTTGGCATTCTTCTATTTTATTGAATAAAAAGATAATATAGTTTGTTCTGAGTAAAAATATCATGCAGTAGAGTTCTTTGTAGTTTTCCTGTTCCTCCATGCAAGTGCTGGAATGGTATCTTGTATTTGGTCATGAGCACTAACTTCCATATCTTGTTTCATTATTTAATATGAATGTGTGGGTCTTGAATTTAAGTATCCCAGTTCTTGAGTTTTCAGCCTTGAACTTCAGAAGTTTCATATAAATGGTTTTGCTCTATGCAGTAGCACATAAAGAACACAAACCATTACAAATGTAATGTATGCCAGCACTAGCATGAATCAATCTGTGAACAAAAACACTTCTCTCCCATTCTGCCAATGGCAAAAATAGGTCATGGTCTGAAACTGATTTCTTTTAAAGATATGAGCATAAAAATTTTCAACTAAACAATGGAAGTTATAGAGAGGAACAGCTAGTACACCTCAGTACACTGTGAAAAGGTGTCTGGTGTTGGAATCTGTGATTACAGCTTAAGAAAGAATAGTACAGCAAATTGTTGTCCTTTTGATCCTCAAAATTTGTTCAAAACCTCATCATGATCCGATCTGGAAAAGGCATTCCTGCACATAGCTCTTACTTACTTAACATCCTATCTTTCAACCCTATGTAATCTGAGTTATGGACAGCATCATTAAATTATAAAAAAACAAACAAATAATAATAGTAATATCCAGCCACTTAAGTAGAAACATAAGCTAAATCCTTCTGTCTTCCACTGAACAGAGTATGTACAGAAATAAATGATAGAGTTTAAAAATACATTTGTACCTGTCAGAGTTGACGGCTTCCTGCACCTCATTTACCCACCGCTTCACAACATCCCCTGCAATTTTTGTCAGATGCAAGCTGCTAACCAGAGCAGCACTGCTCACTGCAGAGTTACGATCCACAATTGCTTGTTTCATGTATCTTTCAATTCCTTGCAGTGTTGTCACCTACAAATAAAACATTGAAAATTAAAAGTATCACTGTAACATGAAGTGTTATTCAGGACTGCACTTCAGCCAACATAAATGTTAATGGACATACTCCCTACTCTATTGCCCTCCTGTACCTTATCTATTGCAAAAAAAAAAGTAAAGCTATCCCTGTAACAGGCTGCGGAGACCCATACGATTCTGAGACGTCAAGGCTCCAATATTATATTGACGATAAATGACACAAATTCCGTCCCAAGTGCAAACAATATATATTATATGTCTTTGATCTTGTTCTTTCTACACTACATGTTTCGGCCTCTATTGGCCATCATCAGGTGTATATTCTTAACGTTGCTGCCACACTGACCCCAGTCTAAAATTTAACATTTAAAAACACAATGTCATATTCTTCGTATTATCAATATCTACATCGTTGATATATGTCTGGTATGTAGAGTATGTAGAGACAAGCAGCAGCAACCACACAAGAAGACTACATTAAATAACACCTGTACAGTGTGAAAACAAGAACTAGCCGCTCCAGCACTTAGACATAGGGCGTGTAACCCTAAGAATTTTAAATTTTAAATTTAAAATTTAGAGAAAATTTTAAAAAGGTTTTAAAAACATCATAACTAAAGATTTTTAAAGTGCTACTACAAGAATATCAAATTTGACGTGTGCAACATAATCTACATACCAGACATATATCAACGATGTAGATATTGATAATACGAAGAATATGACATTGTGTTTTTAAATGTTAAATTTTAGACTGGGGTCAGTGTGGCAGCAACGTTAAGAATATACACCTGATGATGGCCGATAGAGGCCGAAACATGTAGTGTAGAAAGAACAAGATCAAAGACATATAATATATATTGTTTGCACTTGGGACGGAATTTGTGTCATTTATCGTGTAGGGTGCAACAGGATGCTTAAATATAATATTATATTGACACTTGCCCCAAGATGGCGGTGAGGATAAGTACAGCTATCCCTGTAACAGGCCATGGAGGCCCATAGGGTTGTGAGACATCAAGGCTCCCACATTATATAGACATTCGCCCCACAGATGGTGGTGAAGGTGTCAGCCTTATGCACCGGCCTCCCTTTGCCCCAGGAAGATTCCTGGTATTCATTTCTGTTAGAGGCTGAGTCGACCTCAGGGCTATAGTGCAGTTGGAAGGTTTAGCTCAATTAAAAAATCCAATGATGTCAAGAATCAAACCTGTGACCTTCCAGCTTGTAGCAGTGCCTCAACCAACTATGCTACCATGTGCCCCCACCTCATTTACTCTGGAAAGGCAAAATTTTTGTATCTTCTTCTTGTAGCACTGTTTCCATCTTCTACAGTTCAGAACATAAAAATCTCAGACATCCTTTCTCTTGCCACAAGCTTCCCATTTCAATTTCCAGACAGCTCTTTCATTTCTTCTTGATGTCTTACAATACCTGGCTAAAACCTCTTCTTCTGGATTATTTTGTAGGTCTCTTCTCTTTACGTTCCACTTGTAATGCTCTTCTCAGTCTCCTTTTAACCAATTTTTTTGCAAAGCCAAACCATTGTAACCATTTCCTTTCCAATTCTAGTAATAAATTCTGAATTTCAATCTCTTCTCTAAAAATTTCATTCTCAATTCCATCCTTTCCTGTTTCTCTTTAAAAATTTCTAAAATATTTCAAACCCAGTGCTTGGATTTTGTTTTTGCAGAAGTTATACAAATGGTAAATGATAAACTACACAGCATTCATAGTGTGTGTACAAGTGGAGACATCTGCTTTCATGTTTTAAATTATCACCTAATAAGATATCTGAAAACAATCTATTATGATAAGTTACTGTGTAACCTGGTGAGCCGGGACAGTGCAGTCAGTATAGCAACTAGCTACTGGCTGGAAGACTGAGGGGTCAGAGTTCGAGTCCCGGTGGGGTCAATTTTCTCTTCTCCACATCATCCAGACCGGCTCTGGGGTCCACCCAACCTCCTAATAGGTACCGGGTGCGCTTTGCCAAGGGGTAAAGCGGCCGGGGCGTGAAGCTGACAACCCACCTTCAACTACTGCCGAAATGTGGGTCTAGACATCCACTCCCTTATATGCCTTCATGGTGTAGTGATCACTTAGTTAAGCATAGGGACAACTTTTTTACCTTTACTGTGCAACCTGAGAAATCTGTCATGTCAGTAGTTCCAATTGCCTGCCATAATTGGCAGCATCTTTACTGACCTGGCATAATCACATCAATTTACAAATAATGAACTTTCTATCTCTTATGAAACTCTCAACATTATATGTTGCCCACTTTCTCACATTTCTTGCTATGGTTCTGTACTTTAAACTTTCATGCTGCCAACACACAAGTGTCACGTTTTTTTGTACCAACCTTTATAAATATAAAATCTCTCCAGCCATCTGCATCTCACATGTACCATAACCACTAAATACTCTTTATACCATTTCTTTCTCATTCACAGATTGATAGTTAACAATGGTGCAGCACTTTCTTATTCAGTTTCCTGTACTGCATATTATATTTGTGATTCATCATTAAAATTTGTAAGCTGAAATACTTCTTTCACGTTTACTTCAGATCCACTGACACGATATTAAGTATATATCTTGCAAAGTAGTCATATGGTCAGAAATAAAAAAAAAAGTTTTGAAAAACTTAATATGGTAGCAAACATACCACAATACAATAGTTACTATACCCACAAAAACAAGATATTTTAACTCCATTTTATGAAAGTTGGCCAGTTCTGAGTGGAAGCACACATTTCACTCTACACACAATAATTAAAAACCAAAGCAGGATTCCTGTAATTTAATATCCCAGTGCACAACACAGGAAATACTAACGTCAGTTATGCTGCACAGTGCACGTATGGCGGCTGCCCTATACAAATCCTCCTTCCCAGTCATGTCTTTAGTCAAGCTTGATGTTACAATAATCAGATCTTCGGCTATGGCTGATAACTCCTTGATACCAAGATACACCATGCGTCGAAGAATAACATCTCGGGACTGGAAGAGTTTTGTCATGGCAAAGAATGCCTCAGTAGCTTCTGTAGTACTAAGCTGTTCACCCTAAATTACAGAAAAACATATCAGTTAAATCACTGAGTTGAAGCTAATGTTGTCGTCTTGGCAGGTGTGGCTGAGACAAGAGCAGATGGGATATATTTTGGCATAGCTTGTTGGCATCTACTTCTTGAAATGAATCCATTTTTTGACTTTAAAGTCATGATCATGGACTGTGTTTCACATAATAATCTCACCTGTGCATAATATGACACATCTGGGAGATGAACTGACAGTTCAATTAGTTCCCAACGCTATCAGAAATTCTTACTTACAACACAATGAAATTTTAGCAAGTCCCACCCACTGAGTTTATTTAGATCTATGTTTTTGGAATTGAGGGCACTTTCTCAATTTTTATCACTCACACTATTGTTACTACTGCTTCTATTTCTTTTGCAACAGCTGAAGTTAAGCCATGTGTGAAACACTATTAAGTGAAGGCTGCACTGTGCTAGATGCATGTCATATTTCTATTCGAGTGCCTGGTGAACATAATATATTGACTACATTCACCACTTAAGGATCCAATTGTCAGTGACTGCTTTGATTCACATTGTCCTGTTCTGTGCCAGTTCACTGACATTCCACATGTAATATTCCAAGACAAATCCTTGCTCTACCAAAACCAATAATTATCCAACTGAGAAGTGACTGTGGATACAGATGCTGTGGCAGCTGAGTGGGCTGGCTACAGAGGTTGTGGCACAGCACTAATTCTATATACTTTTCAGACTACAGTCAACTCTCGATTATCCGGGCTAATGGTGGGGATGGAAGTCACGGTTAATCGAAAACCCGGTTAAGCCAAATTTTATTATACGGGCTGGACGACTGTGAAGGGTCGGAGTTCGAGTCCCGGTAGGGTCAAGAATTTTAACTTCTCCAAATCGTCCAGACCGGCTCTGGGGTCCATCCAACCTCCTATCCAATGGGTACCGGGGGCTCTTTCCCCGGGGGTAAAGCGGCCGGGGCGTGAAGCTGACCACTCACCTCCAACTAGTGCCGAGGTCAAGAAAATTTGGATCTATACATCC